AGCCCCAGCCTCTCCATCGCAGCCCCAGCCTCTCCATCGCAGCCCCAGCCTCTCCATCGCAGCCCCAGCCTCTCCATCGCAGCCCCAGCCTCTGCATCGCAGCACCAGCCCCCCCTCCATCCATATGACGCACGGAGGTAGCAGCACAAAGCCTCCAACCGCCGCCAATGGTCAAGGCGGGGGAGGAAAGCGTCCCCTCTCCCTCCGGTCTGGCTCCTCTCCTCCTACGCCGGCTGGCACACCGGTGAGCAGTGACGCTACCTGCTAGCGCTGCAACCTCAGCAACGGCGAGGATCCCAGCCTGCCCCCCCACCCCAGTCTGACATAGGACAAGGTGGGGGGGGGGGACCAGCTGAGAAATCTCAGATGATGGTTTGTGTGTGTTTCTGAGACCCAAATAGAACTGGAGAGTCAGAATCATGCCAAACAGGGAGCGTGGCAGGTGACCCTGAAACATTTGGAGCAACAGCTGTGATCCACGAGGAACATTCCAGAGCCGTCTGTCAGCTCACTGGCCAGTTCAGCTGCATTCAGCTCACAGCAAGGACACGTTTCACAGACGTCTGGTCACATGTGGGCAGAACAGGGACGCCGCACTCATCCTGTGAACGATGCTTGATGACACTTGATGTTGATGCTTGATGTTTTTTACCAACTGATCTAACAATCTTTCTTTTTTAATAATCTTTCATTACTGTCTGATTATTTATTTATTGATTATTAATTATTCACAATGTAATATTATTAGCTTGCTGTCCCCAATGAAGGGACTGAGAAGGGAAGTGTTAACACGCACAAGCCACAAAGACTGAGAATTTCACAAAGGGACAAACAGAGTCCCATCAAAACAAGGTCAGTCATAAAAACGAGGCCAGAGATGTGGGGCGGGGCAGCACACGCACAGCGACACACGCTCCGGCCGGCCCACACAGCAGCAGTCAGCTTCCTGCCGTAACACCGGTCCAGCCACTGCACACTGCACACTGCACGCCAAACCACCTTTACAGCCCAGCATCCTAAATGGATTGTAGAAGGGAGCAGAAATCCGCGAATGGCAAATTCACATGGCCTGTCAGCATGGACTCAGCAGTGAGTGACAGAGAGGCTCCATAAGGATCGATAACATGGTCCACTAGCTTGGTGGTGATTCCCAGACTTCCAGTCACACCTGAGGGACTCCACAGCACCCCCTAGAGGAATGTGAATACGTGCACCTTCACCCACCAGCCCACATAAGGCTTCGGGAAGGAAACAGGGGAAGCAGGCACTCAGCTGTGAACATCGCACAGGACTTGACTCTCGCCATGTGCGCAGTTGCGACTCCGCGGCAGAACTGTAGTAGCCTGGCGGCTGGACCGGATCGGACCGACTCGGTCCGAGGAGAAGGTCACTCACCACTGTTGCGGTTCTTGCGGTTGGATTTCCCGCCGCTAAGCAGCATCTTCAAGCTGTTCTTGAACATGATGCCGTAGGACCAGAGGGGCTATGCAGGAATCTGTAGGGGCGGGGGGACAAAGACGGTGTGAGCAGTAACATAAACAAATAGCCCCAACAGCGACCCAAAACTTTGAATTTTTGTTGTCGTTAAGAGATTACCGACACACATAAACAAGCAAACAGCTGCCAGAAACAAACCTCCCGTGTGCACTAAACATGGTCCCTCCCTAAATGCTAGCCTGCACCATTAAACCACCCACTGTCCCCCCTGAAGAGAAACCAGTACTCATCCCTCAGGTAATGAGGTACCTGTTATTACTGGCACACCGCATTACCCAGGGGTATGTGTTGAAGACAACTCAGAATGCCGATTGGTCAGTGAGTGTGCGAAGGGAAGCCAGGCCAGCCAATAGGAAGGCTCACGAAAAGTTCACATAAGAAGCAGTATAGTGGAAACCAATCCCAGGCCAGGATGCAGAGACCGATGAACATTCTCAGAATTCTGATGCGCTCTGCCTCAACAAGGCTGTCGACAAGGACACTGACGAGGCGCTGAGGAGGCTATAGAGAAACCATTCCCACCAACAAATAAGAACTTCTTCAGACAAAGAACAAAAACAGCCCACTGTTTTTACATTCAAAGTAACCATAACAAATCCTGACAGATGGTTGGCATGGTGCATGCCTGCTCTAAAACAGATTTATGTTAGGCCTCGCGTTAAACCTCGTAGAAAATGTAATGCTACATCAAGTAAATAAAGCGGGCTTTCGAAACTTCAGCCGCTACGTTAAAACACAACTTTCGGTCCCAACAAAGCATGAGACGTCCTGGTACAACAATCAAAGCAACAGCTAGTTATTCTGTCAAATAACTTTGCCGTCCTGTGCCTGCAGTACTTTAAACACTTACTCTTAAGAAATTCCCAGTCATTATTTTATGGTCTGATCGATGCTGGTTGGATCCAGGCAGTTTAAAGCAACAAAAAAAGGAAAGAAACAAGCTGCAGGGAACCAACCTTAAACATCTGGTTTAGGCATCTGAGTGCAGCCGACTGCAGCAAAGCTGTTAAACATGAGCAGCGCAAAGCCAGGGGGGCAGAGAGCGGGCTGTAAATTAGAGACAGTGAAGAGAGGGAGGGCGCTAGCGGCAGCAGGCCAGCCGGAGACCAGTACAACAGGCTAACTGGGTACCGGAACTGGAGTTTATCCCAGAAAGTGGTTTAGGAATGTAACTGGAGACCCGTAAGAGAGATTAACTAGAGAACAAGTAAAAGAGGCTAATCAGGGGCCAGTAGGGAGGTTATTGAAGGGGCCGGTTACAGGAAGCTTAACTGGGCAGACATGTGGGAGGCTGGCCAGGTCCTCAGAGTGTCACAGCGGAGCCGCAGTGGGGGCAACCGGGGCAGCAGCAGCGACCATTCAAATTACTGCACATGGCAAATTACTGCACGGGACAGCACAGCCCCCGGGACGACACCTGCGGCGCCCCGTGCTCAAATAGCTTATAGTGGAGGAGCCCGTAAACCCGGCCAGGAAGACAGCACCCCCACATGGGGGCGGGGGTAATGGGACAGTACTACACCTAATGACTCCCAGGCTATCCCATCCGACCCCTCCTCTGCTGTCCTGAGGCTGCTCCCACCCCTCCTCTTAATGCCTCTGGCCCCACACATCCCCCCACACCCCCCACCCAGATTGCCAAGATGCACGGGGCTGCGCTTATAATTGCCGTGGGGAGGAACAGATGTTGCCGGTTACGTGCGGATGACTCAGCAGCTCACAGGCAGGAATCAGGCGGGGGGGGTGCTGAGCGTCCATTTCGGACTCCGACGAACACAGAGAAGAGAGCGACAGGAAAGCCCCCTGACCCCGAACTCCGACCCCCAAACGCAGAAAAGCCTGTGTGCCCCTCTGCAGTCACGTTATAAGGCAGAACAGGAACCGTCTGCACCATGTCCCCAGCACCTCTGTGCTGCAATTGTGACAACGTCTAAAGGATCAGCGGGACACTCTCCACCTGACCCCCCCAGCCCCCCCCCAGAGGACGCTCCATGCTCGTAATTGCAGAGGGGGGCACCAGCGGAGGCCCACTCCTGTAGGAGCTGGGATGTTGTGGCAACATGTATGCATGTGAGCCCCCACCTCCCCCGATATAGCCGAAGGTCGGGGGGGGGGGGGGGGGGGTCCACATCACCCTGCATACGCAATAAAACACCCACTGGGGAAACAATCATAAAACCACTGCAGCAGGAGGAAACAAACAATGTGCAGATATTACAGAGTCATGAAACCAAAAAGAGGCAAGCAGGCTGGTCAACGGGCCGGGAAAATGCCGGAAGCAGGAGGTGGGCTGATGAGGAGAACAGGACAGGAGGAGAACATTCCGGGAGCAGAGGAGGTGCTGCAGGGCTCCTGAAGGGTGTGGCTTCAACTCCCTGTGAACCTGTGAGCCAAAGAATCAGAGCCTTGGATGTAACCTATAGGTGGAGAAGACGTTTAACACGGCGCCCTCTCAAACCGCAGCGCTGTGGCCGACGTTCGGGGACTGAGCCACTGCAGTGTAACCCAACCCCTGGGAAGCAGCTACGCAGTAAAGATCCGCTTGGCTGTAACTGGCCCAGAGGTCACCGGCGAGCACAGGAATGCCGTGAGAGAGGATGGAGGATGTCGATAGGGGGGCATCGTGTGGCGGCGGCCGGGGAGGTCTGCCCCACGTGGATAAAGGCTGTAGCCTTGGTCACCGGTAACCAGCTAAACACAGTACTGTGTCCAGGGAACTCCCATTAACAGCACATCTGGCGTGACGCTCACGCTTTCAGGCTCTCACGCTCACGCAAGAAATCTTACGGCAAATCTATATTATTACATTATAAGCCTAAAATTAGTTATATCAAAAGCGTTGGGGTAGTATGCAAACCCTACAAACTATTTACAAGGTAATAAAACAGTTACATACATGTACATGCGCGTGTGCGTGTGTGTGCAGACTCTCACTCCAGCCAGCTGACCAGCCCTGCATTTACCTTCTGAAATGACCTTTGCCGAAATGGGTGACAGAACAACTGAGCATTAACCTCACTGTGAGTCGTGCGAGGTACAGAAGGGGTAGAACATCGTACATGCAAAGGTTACATAGAATTTGGAGTTTAGCAGGAAAAGCCCTCTCCCTAATTAAGAGTTGTCCTTACAGATTTCGGCCAGATGCTGCAGTCCAATCACCATTTCTGCATTTTACATGAACGTTGCACTTTGTGCAGCTTGCTCTTAGGGAGCATAAACATCCCCACCAAGCTGCATGATTGCTGTGGTTTTCATTAACATGATAAATATGATAGCTGGGATTAATTTGCTTGCATTCATGTTTTGATTTTTCGATTGCTTTGTTCCTCGCATTATTAAAGTTCACTGTTGACTTGAAAACGTTCTTGTTGCCCGTGTTCCAATAAATGTTCCGAGAGCGGCTAGGAAGAGGATTTGTAGTTATCGCCATGAAATGGCAGCGTAGCAGCTACGGCAGAGGACTCTTGAGCTGAAGGTCACCCCTCTGATCCCATGAGAGCTTCTGCTTCGGCACCTCAGCCAAGGCACTCAACCCGAGACAAACACAGCGGAACAAACACGCATCATACATGTCAATGTATTATATCTCATCTGAGAATCGCAAGAAATTCCTCATAACTCAGCTGATCCATGATTTATGTTGCCTTACGCTGCAGGGAGGCCATTTCAAGTGATCTTATAAATAATTACACATCTTTTATCATTCAGACAATAGGGCTGCTTTGGATGTTATCTTTATGCTATATTGCTATTAACCGTTACAGCTGGAGAGCATAAACCAGGCATATAAAGACCAGGGCCGCCATGTTCGGATCCTGGCATCCAATTATGTGACCCGTTTCAGGGAGGATGTGGGGGGGCTTCATACACAAGCCCTTGACGTGACCTCTACCATTCAGGCGTTCACCTTGCCTATCGGAGAGCCGGGATGTATGACGAAGTCACGCCAAGGGGGCTGGGGGAGAGGCAGCGTAAGCTGAGACGGCACACTGGTGATGTCAGCCTCTTGGCCCAGCTAATCAGCGAGCACATGGAGCCCATCTGGCCAGAAGCAGTGGCTTCAATAATTCAGGCCCGTGTCTCTGCTTTTGTAAGCCAGTGTCCCCCCAGGACGCCTCTGACACGCAGGCCGGGGGGGGTAATACAGCAGCCTTCCCCACCAAGGAGCGTGCGTGTGCGTGTGCGTGTGCGTGTGCCCTGCGCTGTGGTCCAGGCGCTTGCTCGACCTCCCTGTGCCGTGCCGCCTAGATGCCAGGCTTATATTCCGGACAGTTTAACTACGTTCATATGCTATATAGCCTGGTCATGGCCACACCCAGCAGGGCAGTCTGACAGCGGATTGCCCGCTTCGGTAAAAGCTCTTCATCAGCATGCACAGATGCCAGGACATACTGCTCATTAACCTTCATTTTTTTAAAAATATCAGTCGCTGGATGTTGTCAGGTGGATCTACATGGGATAATGAACAAAGAACAAAATAATTTCAGCCAGAAGGACCAGCAGGGAAGGGCATGAGGAATAAATTAGTGGATTTTTGAGGGAGTTGGGGGGGGGTGGTGTATTAAATAAGACATTCAGATAAATCAGGCATGGGAAGGGGACACGCGAGGCCACCTTCCAAGCCTCCGTGGGGGGGTCCCGCCCCGCCCTCCACACGTTCTCCATATCAGAGCCCAGCCCTTCTGGGAGCTGCTCAGCCTGTAATAAAGCATGAGGACGCACACAGAATGCGCAGTCGGAGAGCTTCTCTCATGGTTAAACCTACTGCCTGCCATCTCCAGGGTTGTGGGTTCGAGTCTCTCCTCCGCAGCGTGTGAGAAGCTCGCCCGTCTTCCCACCGGTCCAAGGCCTTCTTCCTCCCAATGGTGGACAGACAAATATGAGAACTGCTGTCTCTACAAAGTACACGGGCAGCTGTGAGCCCTGTGATGCACTGCTACCCAACCCAGGCCGTCTTCTGCCTCACGCCCTGCAATGACAGGGAGAAGCTCCAGCCTC